CACACACACACACAGTCACAGGGAACCCGCGTCCGAGCTGACCATGGGTCAACCCCGTAGCAGGGATGGTTATTCCCGCGTCTAAATAACCTACATAAAATTTAAGGCCAGTACACGGCTGAGTGTTACGTTGAATGACCATGGATAATGGATGTGTACGTGCTTGGGGTTACCCATAGCAGTCACACTATGACTATGTGAGTGGATTCTCTTATATAGTGGCACATTGCCACACATAGACCATCTTTGTCATACCCCTGAATAATATTATTGATGTGTGTGTGTGGGGGTGGGGGTGGGAGTTGTGCAACTTTGAGATTTCTAGGTGGTGAAAATTTACGTACTGATAGGCCACCGAAAGGAATGGGAGTATACCAGGTGCCGGTCTTGTAAAGATTTGTTCTATAGACCAGAACAAAAAATGCCGCCTCCTTAATCACAAATGTTGACCAGCCATCTATTTTTACCAGTTTTAATTTTTCTTAGAAACTAAATGCTCTTATAATTTAATATTTAAACCATCATGTAATGTAGCCTATTTAAACCATCATGTAACCTTTTTAAACCATCATGTAACCTATTTAAACCATCATGTAGCCTATTTAAACCATCATGTAGCCTATTTAAACCATCATGTAGCCCATTTAATCGTAATGTAGAATATTTAAACCATCATGTAACATATTTAAACCAAAAACATTACAGTCGTTATAATACAATAAACCATCTAAAGTAATTGGACAATAAAAATAAATTAAACTTATTTTTAAAAAAAATTGAGGCGATGCCGACACATTGACTATTTTTCATGCAGGCTAACATAAAAAAAAAGATTTTAATTATATATATATATATATATATATATATATATATATATATATGTACATATAGATATGAAGGAAATTTTAATATTGATTTTCAATTTAATGTGAGATTTCAACTGACGTCAGTCTCCGTTGCCCGCCTCACATATGTATTTCCTTAAATGTCCACAAGAGATATCACTTAAAGCACCCGAAGTAACATGGTATGTGACACAGTCCTCGTTGCTTGTTTCATTATTCGGCCGACCTGAAATTTATATGGATAAAATATAACCGTGAAAGTGTTTCCCCCCAAAACATTGAACATTATAAGTAAAGATCTAGTTGCAAATATTGTAAAATTTAATTATAGATAAGTACTGTATGTTTAAGCAGTAAAGGACAATACTGGACATATGTCTAATTAATCTTATAAATAACTAGAAAATATCACCCGATTATTATTGAGATGATAATTGCAGGCACTTTGCGATAATTTCCACCTGCTATTGTAAAAACTCATCACAATTCCTCATTTTAAGAAGAAATATCTATGTATTGATTTTTACGTTTCTAACATTATTAAAATCTTTAATAAGTATTTTTATGCTATATATTATACGCCTACCCTACCCATTTTAGAGCTACGCAAGTACAATTATTTTAGCTATAGGTATGACCTTAATTAAATTACCAAATCTAAATGATCGCTAATTAAATCATCATTTTCACTAAAGTAGTTCATTGGCGGCTGATTTTTTTCTACGCTAGAGAAATACTTTAGATGTTATGTGTTTTTAAATTGTTAAATTTTGTGCCTACCCAACCACATTTCGTGCCCCTAAACTAAATTTTTGTCCCTCTAAAATTTAGAAAACTTAATTTTAAATTTACAAACAAAAACTCTATATGTACCATTTTAAATACATTTTATATTAACGGAATTTGATGTACTGATATCTTTATTAAAAATTAAAACAATTTTGTGCCTTTGTTTTCGACTATATTATCGGAAAATCGTAAAACCAAGAATTCTTTTATCTAAAGAAGAATCTCTAAACCGTTTTTTTCACGTCTGTAACAGCCTTGAGTGTCTTTTTTTACATAAATTTTATTAATCTCATAACAGTATACACCCAGTTTAGTTTTCGCAAAGTAACAAACAAAAATATAGTTTCATTTTTTTTAAAGAAAATCAAACCCATCTCCATTATTCAAATTTAAATTTTCACGTGCGTAAAATGATGTGGTTTTGATTTTAATGGGCAAAGAATGTAAATGTAGGCCCACCCACGTTTTGTTAACGCCGTGGATTTTCTTATTTGATAAACATATGCTTATTTGTAAAAAGAGAATGTGAAATCTTTTTTTTTCTCTTCAAAACTGCAATAACATTGGTTTTAAATATGTTTTCTTCCACGTAAAATTGTACACATCCTATTTCCCACAGCGATATTTATGAAACTAAGAAGGTTGATTATTCATAAAATTTATTCCTTT